GATATACACACAAAACCAGCAGATTCTCTCTCCTACATTATACTTGCCTTTCTCTTCTGCTTCATCTAAAAATTGAGAAAATTGTGTTCCAAATGGCAAGATTAAAATGATAACTATATTCAATATTCTGGAGTAATGGAAAAATATATACCCTGTTCTCTAGATAGCTCTAAACTCCAAGTAACAACAGTAAAAGAAAGAACCAAGCTTGGTCTTCAAGGCAAGTTCCCAGACAGTCAGGGCTCCACAGAAAAACCCTGTTTGGAAAAAAAAATACAAATAAAGAAAAGAAAAGGAAGGAAGGGAGAGAGGGAGGGAGAGAAAAAGGGAGGAAGGGAGAAAGAGAGAGACAGAGAGAGAAAACCCAAAACCATATCATGAAATAGTGATCAAGGCCATTGTGGTATTCTTTTCTTTTAATGTATTTATTTTGCATTCTAACCTTAGCTTCCCCTCCCTCCTCTCCTCCCAGTCCCTTCCCCAAACCTCCTCACTACCTCCCATCCACTCTCCCTCTGCTTCTATTCAGTAAGGGCAAGCCTCCCACGGATATGGACAAAAGCGGCATGTCAGGTTGTATTAGGACTAAGCTCCTTGCCTTGTTTTAAGGCAGGACAAGACAACCCAGCATGAAGAACATTATCCCAAAGGTCAGCAAAGGAGTCAGAGACAGCCCTGTCTCTCTCTGTTAGAAGTCCCACAGGGAGATCAAGCTGCATAACTGTCACCCACATGCAGAGGGCCTAGGTTGGTAATATGCAGGCTCCATTGTTCAGTTGCATCTCTGTGAGCTCCTATGAACCCAGGCTAGTTAACTCTGTAGGGTTTGTGTGTAGGGGGGTGCTCTTCTTGACCCCCATGCATCCTAAAATCCCTCCTCCCCCTCTTCAGCCGCATTCACAACTCTCCCTAATGTTTTTGAGAACCAACCCAGGTACATAATCTTCAACCTACTCTCTGCCCAGTCCATGGAATGTGCTAGAGTAAGGATGGTACAGAGATTGTGGGAGTGGCCAACCAATGACAGGCATAGTCGGAGACCTCAAGAGTGAGCCCACCCCTGACACTGCCTGTAGCACCAGGACCCAGAGGCTGTGTGGCCCAGAGATCTAGGATAGAACCAAACATGACTGTAGGGGAAAAAATGTCAATGTATTAATATCTTAAAGATATTCTACAATACTCATAGATTGGTGTCTGGCCCAATGTGTAGTTATGTTTCATTTGTATTTTAATAAATAAAGCTTGCCTGAACATCAGAGAGTAAAACAGCTCCATTGTTCAGCCTCAGTTGTAAAACACACCTTTAATTCCACTAGCCCCACTAGTTTGCCATAGAAAACGGGCAGTAGTGTTGCTCACCTCTAATTCAAAACCCTAAAGAGAAACGTAAGACAGGAGGAGACAGCTCTCAGTGAGTCTCATTCTGAGAATTCCGGGAGACAGGATTGCTATTTTGGACTGAGGTAAAGGTCAGAACCAGAGCCTGGCTGTTAAGCTTTTCTGACTTCAGATTGAATAACTGTCTCTGGGACTTTATTCATCATGCTACACCAGTGGTCATCAGAGAGGCTTTATCAAGGACTGAAGTAAACAGATGCAGAGACCCACACTCAAACATTGGGCCATTCTTTTAGGAAGTTTCTCTTTTGATAGTGTAATTCAATAGCATAACCTAAAGGTGTGTTTGTTAAAGTTGCACCAAGTGTGCACCTCTGAAAGAGGCAGGATGCACTGAGCTGTTTGTGGAATCAACTTGGCTCTTTTCAACTCTGCACCAACTCCATTGCGTAGTCATGGAGCATTGCTCCCATTCTAGTCCTTTGCCTTCATTGCCCTGCGCAATCACATGACAAGTTTAATCCTATTACATTGATGAATTGTTGACACGTCACCTTTTATTCTCTAAAGCCATTTGGGCATTTCACCCATTAGCACTTTTGCTCTGTTACAGAGAGCTATTGATGCAAATTATACAAATAACAGCATCACCATGCCCTGCAGTGTTCTGAGGATTAAGGCATTAGGTTGACCCTTTAGTTTACTCAGTGTTCAAGTCATTATCAGGGATGATGTAGTCATTCTTCAAATAACAGCTTCTCTATGTACATGATCCCTGATATTTGAATCTTTCCCATAAATACAGTCTGTCTGTGATAAAGGTTTACTTTGTTCTCATAGTGGCAACAGAAAAACAGCAGTTTGTGTGTTAGGCCATATTTTCTAGGTTCTCCTGTATATAATATATGGTTTTTTAAGATGATCTGCTGTCTGGTCTGGGCAGCTGAAATACAACCAGTATAATTACCAACTCTTCCTGCAGAAAGCTGCAGCTAGAACATCCCTGCCTAAACTTCTTCTACTTTATTTGAGAAGGATTAATCAATAAATTCCTCTGGCTGGTCTGTTGAGCTCATCTATCTATGGTAATATAGCAATAATGAAGAATATGTCCTACCTCAAGATTTCTGATTTGATGTTAAGAGGCTGATCTTGTCTCCTGTACCTATTATACTTTAGCAAACACTTCTAGCCAAGTTGTCAGACAAACGTGTAATCTCCATCTTTGGGGAAAATATAATGTCTAGGATCAATCAGTATTAAACAGAAAAGAAAACATGTTTCATGGAATCAAAATTCAATCTAACCCCTCACTTGATTATGCTTACAAATGAATGCATATTTATCGCATTATGTCTACGCAAATAGTGCTGATGAAAAACACTCTTGATACTGAGTATTTCAAAAAACAGATACTCAAGCCATCACATCCAGAAATTCTACAAAACAAGTCAAAATATTTGTTATGTTTAGATTTCACATTTCTCAAAAATATTTTTAAGATTGCCTCTCCATCCATGTTTTAGGTATAAGATTAAATTGGAGATGGAAAAATATACCATGATACATAATTATATTTCTCTATCCTTTTGCTTTGGTTGCTAACAATTAAAAAAAATTTACAGTGTAGTTTTCTTATTTCCTCTTTTTTTCTATGTGTAGTACTTCTACTGCCACTGAGGGATCTACTCTGCACTTGAAGAATAAAAACTATGATATGAGTTTTCCACAATATTTTTATGGATTTCTATTGAGCTCTACATTTGTGGAAAAAATCCACAATTATTTTTTGAAGAAGTAACTTTACATGAGGTATTTGGAGAATTTAATATTTTTCTTCCTTTCAAAGCCAACCTTTCAAGCTATTCTTTTAACTTAAAATAAAATTTTAGGCATTAGAACCTAAATGTTATTATTTTCAATCCTATTGCATTCCCAGTGTAACAAAATCAATTGCCATCAATAAGAGAAATATAATTTGGATGTATTGGAGCGAATACCATGAATATTTAAAGCAAAAGATAAATAATTTGATATTTTTCAACTATTTATCAATTATAATATATATACCCCAAAATGAATAATTTGTGTGTGATTTCAGTCTAGCACACTTTCCTTCTATATGATACAAATTCATGGATTTCTGTTTTTGTCCAATTGTGTTTATAAAAAGTTAGTATCCAGGCTCATTACTCTCCCAAAGTAGTTATTTTCTTCTTATATATACCAAATACATAGGAAGCAAAGCTGTAAAACAATAACACTTCCATGACGTTTTCCAGACTAGCCCTCACTCAGCATAAATATAGAAATCATTGAAATATTGAAAGTATTTTCAACATAGAGAACAACCACTTGACTACAGCTGGAGCATTCATTGGTTTAAGGAAATATTTATTTATTTATTTATTTAGAAAAGGAAAAAAAGTTTCCCCCTCCTCCCAGCCTCCCATTTCCCTCCCCCTCCTCCCAGCCTCCCATTTCCCTCCCCCTCCTCCCACCCTTCTCCCCCTCCCCCCACCCTCTCCCCCTCCCTCTCCAGTCCAAAGAGCAGTCAGGGTTCCCTGCCCTGTGGAAAGTCCAAGGTCCTCCCCACTCCGTCCATGTCTAGGAAGGTGAACATCCAAACTGGCTAGGCTCCCACAAAGCCAGAACATGAAGTAGGATCAAAACCCCGTGCCATTGTCCTTGGCTTCTCATCATCCCTCATTGTTCGCCATGTTCAGAGAGTCCGGTTTTATCCCATGCTTTTTCAGTCATAGTCCAGCTGACCTTGGTGAGCTCCCAATAGATCAGCCCCACTGTCTCAGTGGGTGGGTGCACCCCTCGTGGTCCCGACTTCTTTGCTCATGTTCTCCCTCCTTCTGCTCCTCATTGGCACCTTGGGAGCTCAGTCCAGTGCTCTAGTGTGGGTCTCTGTCTCTATCTCCATCCATTACCAGATGAAGGTTCTATGGTGATATGCAAGATATTCGTCAGTATTGCTATAGGATAGGGTCGTTTCAGGTTCCCTATCCTCATCTGCCCAAGGAACTAACTGGGGACATCGCCTTGGGCTCCTGGGAGCCACTCTAGGTTCAAGTCTCTTGCCAGCCCTAAGGTGGCTCCCTTAACTAAGAATTGTGCTTCCGTGCTTTTTTTTATTTAAAAAAAAAAAAAGGAACTCTCTTTAATCATTATCTGACACAATAATCAAGTAGAGGGAGCAGTGACCACAGCTAATAAAGCTTGCTTGATTAAAGAACACCATTCAATAAACAAAATCTGACACAGCAGCAATGAAACATCTTATAATACCTGCTTCTAAATTCATAAGAACATGCTTAAAACATCTAGTTTTAGCAATGACAAACTATGAGACATACAAAAGAATATACTCTACCAAGAAAAAAATAACTAGTAAAACTACCTTTGTGAAAATAAGGTATTGTATTTATTAAAGCCTCAGGCAAATGGCTTTTTAGTAAATTAATGCCCCAAAATTTGGGCGTCAAATGAGCATGAATAATAAAAACTCAGAGAAATTGGGGTTCAACCTAAAAGTCAAGAAAGGAAAACAGACAGCCACTAGCTCTTACCTCAATCTCAATCTGAAAATGGTGATCCTGCCTCCAGGAAACCTCAGAATAAGCCTGAGAATGTCTCCTCCCATTTTTTTTTTAAATATGGAAGACGTCACAAATTTGCCTGTTATCCTTGCACAGGGGTCATGCTAATCTTCTCTGTATCACTCGAATTTTAGTATATGTGCTGCCGAAGCGAGCACTCATCCCATTTTGTAATATTCTCTAGGGTTAGGATTGAAGCCATTTTCCATTGGGATTAAAGGCATGCACCACCTGGTTTCTATGGCAACTAGTGTGGTTACTAAGGTTAAAGGTGTGTGTTACCAAAGGCTGACCAGTGGGGCTGTTTTACTCTCTTATGTTTAAGCAAGCTTATTTATTAAAATACACTAAATACTACTACATTTCTCAAAATATGCAACTTCCTTAAACTGAGGCTTGCTTTTCAATAAGGAAGATGATGTGTAAAAAATGGAACTATATGATAGAAACGTAACTAATAATAAATATTGAGTACAATATCAGAGAAAGTTGTTCTGACATGCATTTTATGTAATCACTTGACAACATATATCAGTTTTCTTCTTTTATAACATTTTAAAGGTTTTCAATGATGTTTTCATTAGAAAGATACATATTATCCCATTATGCTAGACCACCAAATTTATTTAGCTAATCTTGGACAAAGAAATGAAGAGATACCAGATGCCACTGTTCAATACCATAGAAGCATTTTCCTTTGATCACTCTGTGGAGCAGTATGATGTTCTGAGCTGTGTTTGTTAACTTTCTATATTATAGAAGAGAGAAAAGGGAGTGATATTTGTATGGATGAGTAACTATAACTAAACATATTAAATTTTATCTACCAACTACAGTCTTCTCTTTATTCAACTTTGGCAAATCCACTTCTTATCTTTTATTTCATAGTGGTTCTACCTTCATGCTGTCCTCTCACAGAATTTTACAAAATACACAGAGCATGACCCAGAAAAGTATGTTTCTCATTCAACAGCAATTGTCACAAAGGGTCAAGTAGCCTGAAGTAGAACATGTAAGCTAATTATGAAATTGATGGAATCAGAGATTTCACTCCAATTAATAAGTTTCTTGCTTTAGGATCAGAAGCTCAAGAAAAATCTACTTGCATAAATGTCAATACATTATTTTAAGGTTCGGTGACCCACAAATTCCCAATGCTCTAATATAGTAGGATAATTGATGTACTAAAGTACATTTCCAGAAATATGTTTAAGTGATGTGAAGTATTTAATCAAACATGGAACTCTATGAATAATCCAATATTGTGTGTTTGTGTGTAATTAGAGAAATAAAATTCAGATGATTGAGAAATGAGGTGAAGAAAGTGGTCAACCGTATTAACAATGAGAGAAACCAATGGCTTTTGTGTAACCCTGTGATGTAAATCTTGTCTCAATACTCAAGCTATAAATATCTTCATCTCTTGTCCATAAAGCAGAGAAGTTCATAAATTAAGCAACACATGCTAAAATATTAATCCCCACATGGTTACTAAGTATCTACCAGTTTGCATTGATGTTCCAGCAAGTGTACCTGAATGCTAATATCCTTCCTTCCTTCCTTTATATTTCTTTCCTTGACCATTGTCCTTTCTTATTTGATGGGAGACAACTCAACAATTTTGAAAAAGAGATTTTTAAGCAACTGAGATAGAATGAATCAATTTATAAGTTGTCAGTCTCATACTTAGCACAAAATGCACTTTAGAGACCTCACATCGGCTTCTATTCAGAATGAGTAATTTTCAAAATCTGGTGCGGTTAAATGCAAAATACAATAATTACAGCAAGTTAAAATGATGTTAAATTGTAGGAACATCTTCATATAATGTATGCACATATTTTAACTGAAAGTACCAGAGAATTCCCACATCCAATGTTTTGAGAAAAAATATATTAAGATATACTTAATATCCCAAAATATCCAGGTAGCCGTATTCACCATATAGTTTGTCTTAATCTACATTGACTTTGAATACAGCCTGAAACATTGCAGCAAAGGTAGTGATGAGACTAAAGTAAAGCTGACAGTTTTGCTCCATCTTACTCAGTAACGTCACTTATCAAAACATCCCCTTGTTTCTTCACTTTCAATTAAAATCACAGTTTGACTCTCGAATTCCATTCCTGTAGCTGAGACTTCCATAAAGGCAGATATCTACTGTTGTAAGGAGGAGGCCACTAGTCGGTTCCTGGCCACTTAGCCCCAAAATGACCACACAGACACTCTATTAATTAAATCACTGCTTGGCCCATTAGCTCTAACTTCTTATTGGCTAACACTTACATCTGAATTTAACCCATTTTTAGTAATCTGTGTATCACCACATGGCTGTGGCTTACCCGGTAAAGTTCCCAGCTTCTGCCTCCAGTAGCAGCTCCATGGCTTCTCTCTGACTCTGCCTTCCTTCTCCCATGCAATAGGCCAAGCCAGTTTCTTTATTCATTAATGGTAATCACAGCATAGAAGGGAGATCCCACATACTCAGTAACATCACTCATCAAAACATCCTCTTGTTTCTTCACTTTCAATTAACATCACAGTTGACTCACTAATTTCATTCCTGTAGCTGAGACTTCCTTAGAGACAGATATCTACTATCCCCTAGGCTTGTCTGTTCATTCTCTCAACAAATTGTCTACTATCAAATGACATTTAGCAAATATAAATATCATTTGAAATATGTCTTCAAATACCACTTAGCCATATTCAGTTCATCAGGAAATATTTAGAACATCAACAGGGATTCAATTGCTTTCCTCTTAGGATGTAGTTAGCAAAACTAAAATAAAAATTAATGAAATTAAAGTGAAAAGGTCAGGTTGTTAGAATTGACACTCATTAACTGGGAATTTTAAAGTTTTCTAACATTTGTCTTGCTTTATTTATTAAAGCAGTGATTTAATTAATAAAGTGTCTGTGTGGTCATTTTGGGGCTAAGTGGCCAGGAACCGACTAGTGGCCTCCTCCTTACAACAGTAGATATCTGCCTTTAGGGAAATCTCAGCTACAGAAATGAAATTAGAGTCAATAAATAAATAAATATTTATTTATTATTGTCTTCTGTAAAATGAAGGTTTTCTGAATTGATATTGAAATTATATCTTCATTTCAAAAATATTATTTTAACTGCAATTTTAAAATATTAAGTGTTAGAATTTTATTATTCAAATATTGTTTTATTATTCGACTATTATTGAGAACCAAAAAATAGCATGCCTGCCTTCATAAACTCCAAGTCTATGTATATTGTATGATTATAAAATGCAGACAAACACACACACAGGAAATAAATATGTACATGCAAATACTTCATCTTCTGTCTTGACTACTCTGTTGGTTGGTCTTCTGCCATCTTGGTACAGGGTAGGGCCATCTGGAAATAGGGAATCTCAATTAAGAAAATGCTTTTATCAGATTAACCCATAGACAAGTCCGTGGGAAATGTTCTTGATTCATGGTTGATGTAGAATGGTCAAGCCCTCCATGGGTGGCAAGACTCCAGGGCTGGTAGTCATAAGTACATGAGATAGCAGGCTGACAAGACAACAGGTGTAAGCCAGTAAGCAAATTTCTTCCATGGCCTCTGCTAAAGTTCCTACCTCCAGGTTCCTGCCTTGAGTTCTCTTAGTGATAGACTGGGACTTGAACATGTAAACCAAATAAACTGTTTGTTTCCAAGTTAAATTTGTTCAGTGCTTTATCACCTCAATAAAGGGAAACTCAGACATGTGTGAAAGGAAACTTCTTGGGTGTCATACTGCTCTGTTTATATCTGCTTCATTTCTGTGAACTGAAGACAGTGACCTCTGGCAGGGAGGGCAGCTTGTCAAAGTCACATCTGCTGTGTTTAGTTCTAAGGAATTCCTCTTTATAATGAGCAAACTATACCTTTAGTAGACAGAAGAACCGACCAATCAAGAGAGATGACGTTCATAGTACAGAAGACGTGTTATATCAATTGATCTCTGCCCATGAGATAACCAATAAGGGTTTGTGGTTCTCATTTACTTTTCACAATGTATTATAATTATAACACTTTTCCCTTCTCTTTCAAACCTACAGATTCTCCTATAACCCTCTATACTCTTTTTCAAATTCAAGGCCTCATTTGTCATCAAATGTTATTGCATAAATATATATTCCCAAATATAACCTGTTGAGTCCATATCATGTTACTTGCATGTAGTAATAAGGGTGGCGGGGCTGCGTCCCCAGCACCCCGGCTGCCTGGCTAGCTTATGCCCGAAATAACAACACACAAACTGTATTCATTTAATCACTGCTTTGCCCATTTCTATCTAGCCTCTTCTAGGCTAATTCTCACATATTAATTTAGCCCATTTCTAATCATCTGTGTAGCACCCCTAGGTGCGCTTACCGGGAAGATTCTAGCCTATGTCCATCCTGGGTCGGAGCTTCATCGCGTGCATCTGCCTGGGAGCTGGGAGCATGGCGTCTCTCTGAGGCGTCTGCTCCCGAGAGGAGAGCTGTGGAGTCTGAGCTCACTTCCTCTTCCTCCCAGCGTTCTGTTCTGTTTACTCCTCCCACCTATCTTCTAACCAATGAGGGCCAAGCAGTTTCTTTTTATTTAACCAATGACCTTCCTCCATCACTTGCATATATGTTTTTAGGATTGACGGCATGGTACTGAACTGCTGTACCCTTCCCTGGGGAGAGCCACCTCTCCTACTCCTGTAGTTCTTTTTTAGTATCATGCCTCCTGAGCTTTTCCCCATGGAGTTCGGTATCATCAATTTCTCCTTCTTCAGCTCATGTTTAGGCAGTAGTATGGGTGAAACCTAACAAGTGCAACTTTTGATGTAACTAGGAGACCAAGTTTCACAGCAAAATCCCTGATACTCTGGCTCAGACAGTCTTTTTACCCTTTCTTCCACATTGTTTTCTGAGCTTTAGCCATTGGGATTGAGTTTGTAAACGGAGGCTGCACTTTTATTTCCTGGACACTGAGACCTAAATAATCACACAAAACCTGCATTAATTATAACACTGTTTGACCAATGACTCAGGTGTATTCCCAGATAGCACTTACATCTTACATAAATTCATTTCTATTATTTTACATTTACCATGAGGCTTGTGGTTTGTTACCTCAGATCTCACTTCCTGGGTGTGGAATCTCCTACTCGATATCAAT